TTACTTACTTACTTACTTACTTACTTACTTACTTACTTACTTACTTACTTACTTACTTACTTACTTACTTACTTACTTACTTAGTGTGGAGTACGCAGGCTTAAGAAGCTTTGTGAATTTTCTGGGGCAAAAAAGCCAAGCCATTGGTTATTTATCCAAAAGCGTGCTTGACGGTAGGAATCGACAAGTGACGGCCAAAGAGTGCTTTTGCTGGGAAAAATCTGCGCTTCGTCCGATATGTAAACAAAGTCCAGTAAGATCATGCGGTAGAGGAAATGTAGAGCGCTACGTTGTACAAATGGACGTAGCTGGTTTAGCATCCAACGATTGGTGTTTAGTGGAGATATCCACTTAAACTCGGGGCAAACAAAGTTGTTGTTAACAAACAGGAAGTAGCACAAATTTTTAGCGCGCACCTTTAATCCTTCTTGAAGGACGATGATAGTTCCCGTTTTACCAGTCATCCAAGTATCTCGGCTATACAGACCCACTGCTCTGCAGAAGAAGGTTTCCAGTTTCGTTCTGGAAGTCCACCTGAAGCTGAACTTATACTCAAGTCTCATGATCCAAAAAAAGCAACTGGCTATGATAAGATACCGCCAAGATCATTGCGGGATGGTCCTGATGCTCTTCCCTATCCGCTATCTGTTCTTATCAACAAGATTATCGACTCTTACTCTGTGCCGGCTGCTTGGAAGCTGGCCGAAATCTGCCCCATCTACAAAAAGGACGATCCTAAAGATAAATCTAACTACCGGCCAGTGTAGATTCTAGTTACTCTGGATAAAGTTTTTGAGAAGGGTCTTGCATGCCAACTATCTGATTATTTTAGTTCGATCTTGTCACCGTTTCTGTCTGCGTAAAGACGGGGTTACAGCTGTGAGGCGGTACTTCTACGTTTGACTGAGGATTGGAGGAATGCACTTGACGATAACTTTGTTGTTGACGCAGTTTCTATGGATCTGAGTAAAGCTTTTGATATGATACCGCACGACCTACTCCTTGCCAAGCTGGCTGCCTACGGTGTTGCTCCAGTGAGCCAGCCCCTCCTACACAGTTATCTTAAAGACAGGTCCCAGCGTGTCAGGATAGAAGACGTAACATCTGATGTTGTTGTTTTTCCTAAGGGTATACCTCAGGGGTCGGTTTTAGGGCCCCTCCTTTGTAATTTTTTTCTAAATGATCTGTTCTATTTTGTTAATCGTGCTAATTTGTCCCACTATGTTGATGATAACCAAATTTATTTCAGTGATCGCGATCCTGAGGTGGTAAAGTTTTTAATCAATGGCGATCTCGCTGTTGCGAAACGTTGGTTTCACGATAATAAGCTAGTGCTCAATCCAGAGAAATGTAAATGTATTATTCTTCCAGAAACCTATCCTTGCGATTTTTCCTTTAGCATTAGTGATGTGCAGGTTCCTATCGTAGACCATTTAGAACTTTTAGGCGTAACAAAATTTTAGCAAACATATTGGCAAGATTATTAAGAAAGTTGGAAATCAGTTAGATGTTTTGAGCAGGCTAAAGAACACGCTATCAATCTCTTCGAAGATGTGCCTTTACAACTCATTTGTCATGTCTTATTTTACTTACTGTTCTGTGATTTGACATAATTGTTACGAGTCTGATAAGCGGAGGCTGGAAAGGCTTAATGTGAGAGCTCTAAGGTGTGTCTACAACAAACGGATGGCCCCCTATGGTGATGATGACTACGGCTTAACATTGTCCAATCGTCGCCTACAGGACATTCCCATATTAATTTTGAAAGCTGTAAACGGTATATTACCGGGATATATAATTGACTTGTTCGTCGTACGTAATAATGTGACGTGCTTGAGAGGCACCAACAAGCTCGTAGTCCCACGTAAGAAAACTACAAACTTTGGCTTAAAATCTACAACTTTTATTGGTACCAAAGTGTGGAATTCTTTACCGGATGAATTACGTTTAATGACAATCCTTAAGGGGTTTATGAATGCTGTAAGAGAGCTAAATTTGTGATGTACAGTTTTCTATGATTCGCTGTAATAATTGTAAGATTTAGGACTGTTTATTGTTTACTTAGCTCTTATTAACCGAGCTGGAGGTCTGTATAGGGAATCTTGACCAAGGTCGTGAGTACAGACCAAACACCGTGAGGTCTGTACACAAGACCGAGGTCAAGATTCTCCCATACAGACCGACTTAGCTCGGTTAATAAGATGTTTATTATATGGCAAAGAAAAAACCTTTAATTCGTTTAATGTAACTGGTTTGCTGACATTTTGCTTGCGAACGGCGATGAACTTAACTTAAACCTGCCGAAATTTGCTCGTTCTCTTTACTTTTTTTTGTCATCAGGCTTTTTGGCACTTCCATAAATGATTGAGAAGAAAATAAAAGAAAATAGTGAACATTTTTGTATTTTACTGTGCTACTTTTTCAACGCAAAATGAAACCGGTCAAGGTGCCCGTCTAGATGGGAAAATCTAGACCGCGGTCAATATCGATTCCAGCCAATCAAATTCGTAACTTCGGTAGTTCCCAGTCCTTTGAGACACAGCCATATAATAATTATTGATATAGTTAGAATGTTAGTCATTAATTGATCTTTTTTTTATATATATATATTTTTTTCTCGGCATATTAGCATGACTGTATTGCTAGGGGCCTAATCAGCCTCATTAACCCGAGTTGAAATAAAGTTACTTACCTTACTTTAAAACGAGTAAACTCGTACGAATTGCCCCTCCACGTGGATTTTATGTATTTTCGGTCCTGTTTAGATATGGAGACCGAGTAATACGCGTCCTTTAAATCAATAGATGCCATGAAACATCCAGGTTTCATCATCGCAACAGCGGTAAACTACGTTTACGGTACCGATTCAGTGATATTAAATTCAAGATCATGCGATATAAAAACCATCTTTCTTGGGACGAAAAACTACCGGCGAAATAAATTCAACGCTGCTCGTGTTTTGATTGCTGGATCACACCTTTCTCGAGCAGTGAAAGAATCTCAGAATCAATAAAATCTGCTTCCTCTGGAGACCATTTTGGTTGCAATAGAGGCTTAATTTGTACGAGAGTTTGATCAAACTCAATGCTTTGTCCAGTGACGGTTTCCAGAATGTCTGGATCCGAAGTCAGTTTCCGCCATTGATCAACATGGTTGATAATCTGACCAGCCTGAAAATGTTCGGCCCTAAGCCTGTAATACTCCACAAGATATGGTAGCGTTGAGCTATATTTGCATACCTCAAGTTCTGGTATTAGGTCAACAAAGTGTTCTACTTCCTCTGTTGTTGATCGGCACGCTTCGTGCGAGGGTAAAATGGCTTGGGCTTGTGCTGCCGACACTGTGTTGGCGTCGCTCGCGATAAAAAAAAAGTCCTGTTATGTTGTTTAGGCTCATTCTGGCCGAAGCTTTGGCCGTAATAGGTACTCCTTGAATGATTGGAAGTGCTCGTTGTGTTACTTATCTTATTTGTATTTCGAATGTGGTTCAGCTGGGTCTGCAGTTCGTCTCCAAATAGGTGTTCTGTCACAGGCACGTTCGCGGAACAAAGGTCGCCATAATTCTTGTGAAGGTACGGCTTGATGTCCTCACGGTGAAGCTGCGAAAGTTCAAAACTGACATGGCCTAACAAAGCGATAGCGTCCGTAGTCATTACCACGAGCTCGTAAACTTTCCGGCAAAGGTGCTATCAACTTTAGCTTTTAGGTTAAGCAGTAAATCTGTGGGTTTCACAGCGATGTGGCCAACCTTAGTCAGGCTTTTTCTGAAGGCGGGAAAACTTGAGATCTTTCCCTCGTGCTGTCCTTGGAAGCTTGTTCCAAATTTCTTCGTTGACATTTGGGACAACAACTCTGCCACAGTTGGCTGGGCGATGATTTTTCTCGACGTTTGCTTTCAGCTGGTTATCGCTAAGTTTGTGAAGCCAGCTTTTGTTGGCGACGTTTGCAAGCTTTTCCTCTTCTGGGGTTAAGTCGCCGTTCATTTTTTCAAGAGGCCAACTTTCGTCGGCCTCTCTGCTTGCTAACCGAACGCAACTGACTGCTTGCTTGCCACGCTTTATCTCACGTGACTTCGTAGTGACTTTGGCCAATCACGAAGTAGAATTCCCTGTCCCTAGCCAAAAGAGTCTCTTCCAGGCATTGAGCTAATTGGGTGCAACTCCAAAAGCGGCGAGCTTTAAAATGAGAGAGGAGTTTAGCGCATGTAGCTTTCTCTCTTATTTTTTCGCTCGTCTGGAACGTCTGGAAGCGGCTACAGCCGAATTAAAGGTAAAGATTTCCCGCGAAGGTAAAAGATGCTACCACACAAAAACAATGAAATCTGTTATATTTAAGCACGGAGCCTACTTTGCTTAGTCACGCAGATGTTCTAACCATGCAACCATTCACTCTCAGATGGAATTAAGGTTTTGTTTTGAGGAAATTCAAAGACAAACACCGAGATCTGGGCATAACAAAATACAGCTGGTACTTCAATAGCTTCTGCTCTACCCTACAAACTGAAATGAGCTTGGTCAACTTTTTTGCAAGTATTAAAATTAGCCTGACTAAACTCGTTTAAAGTTGATAATTCAAAAGGCTTTTTACCGTCAAACGAGATTAGTGAGGGTAATTTAAATGCACACAAAATAGTTTTAAATTGACGGCCAATTATGAAAAGAGTCTATAGAAATCCGAAAGCTAAATGATTGGAAAATAGGCGTTTTTTAAGTTTTGTTGTAAAGAATAAGCAAATTAGAGGTTTGACTACAATTTTATAGCAGCTCATCAGATTGGCATAACANTGAACACCCTCGATGAAGTCTCGAGAGCAGGCACAACCGTATGTCGTGGCGACGACTCTTTCCGTAATTTTGTTGGGCATTTTACCGAACATCACGGCACCCTGAACGACTGCCTTCGCTGCATCACGTGGTACAATCACACGGCACCTGTCAGCAAACTCGTTCTTTATTTCTTGTTGAAGAAGAGAAGATTCTGCAAATCCTCCAACAAGGAGCATTACCTTCACCCTCGAAAGTTCCGGCTTGCTTAGTAGAACAGCTAAATGATCTTTCATGGCTTCCAAAACAGGCTCAAACTGCTTTTTCATGACCCTCGGACTTAGGCATAGATATTCATTTTTAATGATTTTAACTTCTTCTCCGTAACGCTTCATAGAATGGAGAAGAATTTCAGGGACAGAGGAATTGAAACTCTGTGGCAGGCGGATTCTTGTTTCTTTATTTTCCAGAGCCCGTGGCCCACGTTTCTTGTCTTCAAAGTCGCCTATCAAACGCAGCCAATCAGACGGGAACAGTTTGCGATACTCATACAGCTTCTCGGCACTAAAGAGCTCATCCAGAAGTCCTTCGAATTGATGATTTACTTTCATACCGCCATACGGTCCACCTGTTACCTTATGGATTTCCTTAATGCTACCATCATCTTGTTTTTCATGAACTGTTACATCAAGAGTTCCTCCTAGTAGCACCAAAATTGTACAATGTTAATGTGTGAATTTAAAAAATAAAAGATGTGTCATGACCGCTTTTTTGCTATATTGATTGTGACCAACTTCATGCCACCATAAAATAACTTAGGTAAAACGACATCTAGTATATCTTTCAAATTAAATATAATATATTTTGCAAATTAAATTTTATATCACCTACAAATAACTCCTCTTATTAGGCGGAGAAGATCGCAAAACTTTACTTGTTTTTGTCCCTTGTTTATGATTAAAAATACCCATAAAATATTCTTTAAAACTCTCTAGGAGCACACTACGCTTCCTTTTAAACACGCAAGATTACACATTAATACAATAACATCCCCCTCACCACACCCACATCCGCTCTCAATAAATATTACTATAATAATAGAGATACCACAAAAATATAAACAAAACGCGGTGTGCGGTAAATAAACTAAAAATGCAGAAAAAAACACCAAGCGAAAGCAATCAGGCATAGAATAGACACCGACTTACGGTTTTGAACAAAACCCCTTTCAATTAAGATTCATTTTGAAGAACGCTGTTTGTTGAGTTGTTTCCGTATTATTGTACTAGTGTTTATTAATCTTGGTCACCAGTTTGACTAACAGGGAATTTGCACTCAATCGTTTGAAATTTTCATAATCTGTAAGTTTCAACCTCTTTACATTTATCGGTTATTAATATAATTACCTCCAATGTCGACAACCATGTATTGTGCATTCAACTGGGACAGAAGTCCATCCACGGATACACTGAGTCTCTCAAGAGACTGTATTGCGCCCATTTTTCTCTCTGTACAGAATATCGCGGCTGCTTCAGGTTCCAAAGCAATTACCAACTGCCCCGGTCTGTCACGTGACACAAAACCAGCCTGTTAAATCAAAGGGCATCAGTAAGACTGTATAAATTGAGATTACACTCTTAGGAATTATGGCAGAAAATAATGCTGGAGAGAATACGAGATCCGTAATTCATCTCTCTAGCATTAGCCATTTCCACATCCCCCATGATACACCTTGTTTACCCACCCACCCACCCCCAAAAAAAAATTCTGCATAACCTTTGTTTCCTATTTCTCCTGAGTATTACAGTCGTCCCAAGAGAAACTGAAGACAATGCTCATGAAAAATTGGGGGGGACAAACAAGGTGTATTATGAGGGATGTGGAAATGGTGAATAGCATATTAGTGTCACGAGATTGATGAGAAACCCAAAATGGCGACAAACTTCTCTTATGGAGCTAAACTTTCACAGTTTTCGGCAATATAAATGACCATACTTAATGGATTTCCGAGATATTTTGATCACCATGTTCCTTCACTACAGTTTTAACACAGCTATAGGTCCTTTGCATAAATGGCGAAATCCTCAGCCTCGTACTCATGTTTTCAGACGAAGGATTTTCCACATGAATGTGAAGCTTAGGATGTACAAAGTATTGTTATTAAACTTTAGGCGTCATTTATGCGTCATTTAGGTGTCATTCTATAAATCTGCGGTTGTAAATTGAACTCTGGCAATTTTCTGACCTTATGGGTAAGTACGACATCCAAGATATGGCCCTAGAGTTTTTTGTTTTTTTTTCTTCTATCTCTTGTTTTAGGAATTGTCAACACTTTTAGAACGAGCATTGTCAGAACCATTCCACACAGATGAATTTTTCATTAGCAAGTTTGCAAAAAAAAGAGGGTTGTTACTCTCGAGAATCCACGGTAAAATTGCCACTCCCAATTCTCATCCTGTAAGGACTTCAAAAACTTCAAGACAGGTTTAACTGATCAAAGCAAATCAATTTCAAATTAATTGTTTCCACGTTCGGGCTCATCACCAACTAATCTATTAACCCACG